GTAGATGACAACTCATTTTAGGCAGGCTTTTTCTTGAATTAGGAGGAATCTCATCAGTACTTAAGAGAGCCCACGTGGTCTGTTGTTTGCTGACTTAGTTCAGAAACTTCTGATACAGACACGTCCTGAGCCCGCAGTGGTAAATCACCTCATGCCTTGGCATATTCCCCTCCGTCTGTGATGTCACTTCCACCTGACGGCTCTGCTTTCTCCACAGAGATCTTGCCACATCTCTCCTCCTCCCCTTAAATCCTGTTTTCAGAATCGTCTGATGCTTAAGTCCTTCCTGGGAGCAATCAGCTCAGAGACCTTGGGCGTCTGCCAAAGCCTGCCCCCCTTGGAGGGATAGGGGTGCGAGGCCCAAAGAACATGGGACAGGTGTCTGCCTCCCACCCCTGGAGACCAACTGGTTTATTTCAGTGAACACATTGTAACCACTTGCAATTTTAGTTTTCTGAAGTTCACATTGCTTCACAGTTCTGCCAGCCTGATGTTTGCAGGTAGCTCTTCCCGTCTGGGAAATGGGGGCATAAATGGGCTAAACAGGGCAGTCACAACGACTCTCTTCTGCCTTTTGCAGCCGAGAGGATGAAACAGCTGACATCTGTTTAGGGCGTGGGAATCCCACGATACTGGAAGCCTTCGATAAAGTAAACCAAAACATTTCATTAAAATTCATTTCCTTTTCTCACATCTTGCTGAAAACAGAAAAATATTTCAACCTTGGCATAGCCACTGAATTATTCATCTGAAAATTAAAAACAAAAAACAAAACCCAAACTTTGATCCAACTCAGACTGGATGCCCCTGCCCCGCCTCTTGTTCCTGGTCACCCTTCCTCTGAAAGGAGGCAGGAGCCCTTGTTCTTCCCCGGGGTTAGGGCCGAGGGGGTATCTATCCTCTCTTGTCTTTCTGTGGGGGCAGTGCCCGAGGGCCAGGCGTGACCACATCCTGCCCTGAACCCTGGACCCGTGAAGCTTAGGGCCTGGGGTCATGGAGCGCACAGGCTGGGGCCTGCCAGGGAGAGATGGGCATCAGTCAGAGGAGAAAGCCGCTGACGGCTCCCCAGAGTAGGAGCTGGGCCAGAAGGAAGACACGGGGCCAGTGGGGCTCTGTTACCAGCTCTCAGCCCCTGGGCCAGCCCCCCACATGGCCAGTGCCCCCCACTCTCCCTGGAGCTGGATGCTGACATGCCAGAGACCTGGGATGCTATTTCCAGAGCTGATGCTTGACCGTGTAGGGAGCAGGCAGCTAGGACAGACAGCTGACCTCTGGATGACCTCTCAGGGTATCTGTTAGGACTTCTCTTCCACTTCAAGGCTCACTCTGACCGTAAGGCACTTGCCTGGCAGTGCGGAGGAGGAGACTCTGGCTTTTGCTCAGGGGGCCTTTGGGATGGCTGCCCGCCCCAGGCCTGGCTTTCCCCCTGGTTGTGAGCCTTCCTCAGATCTTTGGGAGCAGCTGTCGTACTCCACCCCACACTGTGCCCTCCGGGAAGCTCCCCGCCAAACTCCTCCTTGAGTCTTGCTTCTATGGCAGCCATATTTTCTGAACCCCAAATTAAAACATGAGGTATGAGCCTTCCTAGGTTATTCAGGGAGGTGGACCCTCAAAGTCAAGGCTGCCCTGGGGAGCTGGGACCTGGTGGCTGCCTCTCTGCGTGGAAGGCCTGGGAGCTTCCCAGTAATGGGGACTCCTTTTTGGAGATGGTCTGCATTTTCATTTCACTTGTTTCTTAAGTGTCTCCCTCAGGAAATTCAATGATTTCTGTTCTCAGAAATGACTTTGTAAGAAGCAACTGAAGCTTCATGCATGGATGGCCCAGATGCCTTGGAAGTTCTGGCTTACCTGGGTCACACACACAGCCACATCCACATGTCCTCAAGATGAGGACCGACAAACCACCCCTCATTCTGTCTCCAGCAAACACTCCGCTCCCAAAGAGAAAACGGCTGCCTAGTTATTCAATGTGACTGTCAGCGTTAATCAGATTATCTGGAAGATACTCGACTGTTTCATTTTGTTGCACAAATAAAGCCTAAGGGGAGGAGAGTTCTCTCTCCGGCTGTCCCTTTTGTGAGAGGAGTCTTAAAGTGCATGTGGGGTCCTTGAATCTTGAGATCAACAGCAGCTGGATTGGCAGCGGCGCCTGAGGACTTTCAGGGGCAGAGACCTGGGCAGTGGGGGGCACGCAGATGGCGAGTAAAAAAAAAAAAAAGCCATCTTCCCAGGCACTGGGGTTAGGACCTCAGCATTCAGATTTGGAGAGAATGCAGTTCAACCTATGACACCAGGTGCAGGGGTGAGGGGAGCCTGGATGCAGTCTGGACAGTCAGGCACTAATGGGACCTCGGGTGGGGCTCCCAGCAGCAGTCAGGAACCCGGGGTTCTCAGGGGCTGAAGGGTCGAGGAGACAGGAGGGAGTGTTCAGACGGGTCCCTGTACGGTGTAGGGCATTCCCAGCTGAGTTAGCCTCAGTCCTGGAGGAGGTAGGGTTCCCACATACCCCCGATAGCGGGGACCCAGTTCCTCTGACGATGAACTCATGGGGACAGTGATGAAGCCAGTGTGCTTGTAAGTAAGGCTGAGACCTCAAACTGATGCTCACTCCACCATCCCAGCTGGGGACTGTGTCTCTGATTGCTCTTGTGTCTTTCAAACCAGGGGGTTCTGCCCCACTACCTGGGAGCTTAATTCATGAAAAATGAATTTTGTCCAGACTGTTAGTGAGTGTGGCAGAAACTATTAGTTATCCCCCAGTATCTATTCTCCTTTTCTTCCATAGTAATAAACCCCTGGTTTTTAGCCAGTCATACAAATCTCTGGAATAAAAAAATACATTTCCTAGCTTCCCTTGCAGCTTTGTGACCATGTGACTAAGTTTTGACCAGTAGGAAGTAAGCAGAAATTTCTGGGAATTTTATGCTTTGGAGAACCTTCTGCTTCAAGGAACTTTTTTTTTCCCTCCTGACTCCTCTTCCTCCAGCTCACTCATTTAGTTTGACCCAGGCACTCTTCTAAGCATTTTACATACATCGGCTCCTTTGTTTCTTACAACCCTATCACAGGACCTCTTTCTCCATCCTCTGGCCACGTGTGGAGGATTCTGAGGCTTTAGGAAAGGGCAGGACTGCAGGACGGAAGCCACCTGTGTACCTGACTTCTTGGATACATTTCTTAAATAGGTTTATTTAACAAATACTAGAGCCTACAATGGGGCTTCCCAGGTGGTGCTAGTGGTGAAGAACCTGCCTGCCAATGCAGGAGATGTGAGAGATGCAGGTTCGATCCCTGGGTCGGGAAGATGCCCTGGAGGAGGGCATGGCACCAGGAAGCTGTGGGCTACGGTCCATGGGGTTGCACGGTCAGACATGACTGAAGTGACTTAGCACACACAGAGCCTGCAATACACTGGACCCACTTGGAGGAAGGATGCCTGTAGATCAGAACACTTAGACTGGACTGTCAATGACCAGGGGAAACAGCCTTTATTGTGTTAAGATGTTAACACCGGGGGGCTTGCCTGTCACTGCAGCTAGACCTGACCCTAACTAANCACTTGGAGGAAGGATGCCTGTAGATCAGAACACTTAGACTGGACTGTCAATGACCAGGGGAAACAGCCTTTATTGTGTTAAGATGTTAACACCGGGGGGCTTGCCTGTCACTGCAGCTAGACCTGACCCTAACTAAGTTAGTCCTCAAGACCAGGATGGACCAGCTTGGCCGTGCTAACAAACCCCACTTTGTGCTCTTTCTCTGATTTCTGTAACTCCCATAACTCCTATTGTTAATCGGGATTTTCTGCTAAACACTTGGAGTCTAATCTTATCAGAGAACATGACGATTGCCTAGTCCTCTAGATGGCCTCCTATCTTTTTGCCCTTGTTCAGTTTCAGTGTGTATCTGACTTTAACCTTTGGGGTTTCTGACCATTTTAGTTTTGCCAGTTTTGACCCTCAGTGCTTCCAAAGTGCCACTCACTCCACGATTGTACTTTGGTGCCTTCAGCCCAGGTTATTTTGGGTCCTTCTGCCTCAAAGAGCTGGGCACCTTGACTTGCAAAAATCCATACTAACCTGACAGATGACTCAGTTAGCAAGAGGGTGATGACTTATATTCAGCATCTATCATAGCATCCTGTCCTCTTGTGATCTCTCAGTAGACAATTTAAAACCTGATCTCTGCAAATTCCTAGGACTCCACCTGGCCCATTTGGACTAAAAAACAAACAAACAAACAAACAAATGAACTAATCTCAGAATGACTCTCATGGAGTCCTCAACATTCCATATGGTTGAAAGGTGGTCTTGCTAGTGGTACTGTGGCTGGAACAATTGGTATGAAGCAGGTTAGTTCTCACATCCAGGCCTTAAAAACCTCACCATTTCTTTATCTTCTGGGCATCATAGAAAGGACCCAGGAGCTGGCAGCTTGGACTGGGCTCTTCAGTGGTCTTATGACCCCCACTTAGCACTAACACCGCAGAAACAGCTGTTAACCATCTACCAGCTTCTGGATGGTTATGACGATTAGACCTCAACTCTTAAGAAATCTTACCTGGCCCATTTGTGGGAATAAATGCTCAGAACTCTAGAAATCTCCCAGGAATAAGACATCAAGGAACCCCAGCAGGGTTAAGAGTGTTCCTTCATTCTCTAATAGTTGGAGAGGTGGGAAAAAAAGGAAAAAAAAAAGACTGCAAATCAGACAGATCTGAGTTCAAACAGTGACTTCGCCAGCTGCTAGATATGTGAGTGTTTCCAAGGTGTATTATTCCCCAACACTCAGTTTTCTCATTTGCAAAATGGGACACATTCTTATCTTTTCAGAACCAGAAGTATTGACTGTAAAGCCTCTCTCAGTGTAATTATTTTGGGAGCAATAGAAACGCTCTTGCCTTGCAGAGCTCTGTCTGTCCTGATGCTGGGGGAATCTTCATTCTCCTTCATTCTCATTCCCTCTCTGACATCATCAGTCTCGGAATCCCAGCCCTGTCTTTTGACAAAGTATGTAGCTTGTCCACATGACTTAACCTCTTCATATGATTCCCTCATCTTTAACATGGGGGTAGTGACAGTCCCACAGCACTGTTGTGAGTATTGAATGAGTGAAAGCGTGTGAAGCACATTAAAAGATCAGTTAAATTATCATTCTTATAGGAAGGGATTCCTTGCCAGCTCATCGTGTCTCCCCTTTTGGACAGAAAACTCCTTGGGGCTTGAAACCTCGTCTCTTCACATGCCACAAACACCCATTTGCTGTTAAACCTCGTCTTCAGGATGCTCAGCCGCCTCTCAAGGACTCACTGGCTGGGAAAGGACAGGATGTGACCAGTCCCTGGGCTGGTGAACTTTTGGGCACAGACTTCGCCCCCGAGCCTCAGATCCCATCTCTAGTGTGGATGGAGCCCTGTAGCACTGGTTCATTATCAGAAAGAAATCTTGCTGCCAGAGTCTTTTTAGAGGGGGTGCGGGGTCTATTTGTAAATGTTTCTTATTGAGTTGGTGTTAGTCCAGGGTTTGCATCCAGGGATATCCCTCTCATTTTCCTTCTCCATGTCCTCTCCCTGGTCCCTCCCTGTTAACCCAACACCATACCATCCCTCTCCCACAAAAAATTCCCAGTCTGAGGGCAGTTGCAGTCAATAGGTTTTCCTCTTCCAGAAATAAGAGGGAGATGGTTTCAGATGCCTGAGAATGGAACCCAACCCAGACACAAAACTCTCTTCTCATAGCTTTGGTGTGAGTACGTCACATGGGTCTTTAGCGCATCTTCTATCCGAAGCCGACCTCCCAGGAAAAGGATGCTGGGAGGAAAGCATCCTCCCTGGGGTGTGAGTAGAGCTGCTGTCAGAGTCTCATGACACGCGTGACACAAGGCGCTCGCTGCCACGCCCAGAGCAGGGTTGGTGCTCTGTGGATGTTAGGTCTCCTCCTCGCCCCAGACCCCTACCCAGCTGACTCTGATGTCCAGACCACAGACAGGTGCTTCTCTGCCTCCTGTAGAGGGGTAGGAAAGATGCTCACCACGGGCTGCCCCAAGGAACGTGTGGGCAGTACTAGGCGTGGCTGTCAGAGGTCCAGAGGAGGCGCCCAGCATTGAACCATGAAGCTGGAGGGGGTGATGAGTTCCTCGTGCCTGCTCAGGCTTTTCCCTCTATGCAGGCAGGGCCATCCCGGGGGTCTGCAGCCACCGCCGCCTGCTCTCCCAGCGCTCACAGCATCAGGAGCTGGAATCTCACCCCTCCTTCCCCAGTGTGAGGACCACCAGCCAATGCTGCGTCAGGGGCCTGGACATCCAGAGGGGTTTTCCCACTATGTGCATTCTGCTTTCAAAGAAGGAAACGCGGGCAGATCCACACAGTGTTTTTTCAACCTGACGGTTAAACGTGTTTTTTCTCACAATCTCAGATAAGCACCTGGAGCTGCATCGTCTGAGGCTGTCACTTAGAGAACTACTTGCTAGCTAATTATAAGTCAATACCCCAACGTCACCAACTGCTAACCAGCCATCAGATGTCAGCGAGGAGACCTGATTTAGCCTTTTCATATTCCCCGGGAGAGCAAAGGAACAAGGAGTTAGGGGAAAACGCTAGAAACAGGAACGACATATCATTAAATAAAGCTGTGACCAGCCTTCAGCGCTGCCAGCTTCTCTGAACGGGCCACACCCACGCTCTCATTAACCTCGGGAAGCTGAAAGCAGCTTGTCCAGAGAGGTGCTGGGCATGTAGTTGGAACCGCTGCCGTAATGAACAAGGCAGCACCACCTAGCCCAAATCTTTCTCTCTGACTTCACTCTTCAGCCGTGCTCGAGTGTAAATAGACTTGTTTACCAAGTCCAGAATGCGGATGGCAATGAAGTCTTATTTGCGACACTGCAGTGACAAGGCTTTGTGCACAGTGGCACTCGGGAGAGTGGAAAAAATAACCAGAGACTGTATTTCTGGTCAATGGTGGCCATGCAGATGTCTTGGGCCAAAGCTACTAGTCAGTATTCTCTTTTTCTTCTGATTATGTGTCTGTAATAGAGGAAAACCTTGTTACTGTGCCTGATGTGGTAAACAAGATTATACCGTGTGCAACGAGAAGAAAAGTGAAACAAGAAGCATTGATGAATGTTCCAACGGGTGTAATCTTAGTGGCCAGTATGTGGTTTCTTATGAAACGAAGGCATGAATACGAGGACCCTAATTATTGCTTTCAGTTGACAAAGTGTGGTGAATTGGAGAATGTGGCAGGACAGCTCTGGCTGGGTCTCAAGGCAGCTTTAGAAATAAATATAGAAATTCTTGTGTACACGGCGTTACATAAAAAAGTCGCCTTAAAAAGCAAGGTCAGTTTTTCATACCTTACTGAGTAGTTCTGGCAGATGACTAATTTTCTTTGCTTTTGTTGTTCTGTAGCAGGGACCCACAAATTGCAGCCCATGGGCCAAGTCTGGCCCATGGCCTGTTTTTATAAATAAAGTTTTATTGGGAAAAACTACATTCATTGGTTTATGTGTTGTCTGTGGCTGCTTTCATGATCCAACAGCAGAGTTGAGTAGTACGACAGAGGCCCTACAGCCACAAAACCTAAAATATTTGTAATTTGGCCTTTTATAGAAAAAGATCACTGACTCCTGCTCTTTTGGAAACTGTTATTTCAGAGAAGGTCCACAGTCTGTTGGTGAGGTGGTGGCCAGAAGGAGGGGGAATGAAAAAGTCACACGGGAAGAAAGAAGCAGAAAGAGTATATGTAGGGGAAACTGGGGCCTTCAACTAGGATCTGGGTTCCCACATTAACAGGGAGAGGAATGGATTCTGTGTGTTTTGATTCCATTTTTAAAATAAGCAGTCTATGCAGAGCATAAATCTAAATGGAACAGCTTGGGTACAAAGAGAAATTACCACATAGGTTTTAATAGAGGTATTAAACATTTTATCAAGTTATGGGATCTCTGGCTCACAAATAAATTATGTAAATATGAGAATTACAGTAAAGCCAAACATTTCTTTGGACGCTCACAAATGGAAGGAAGGATCCTAACTTCCTCTTGCCCACTGCCTGGGGGACCTAAAGCGGCTGAGTTCTCTCATTGTTAGGACTTTGTATGAAGGTCATCACCTACATTTGTTGCTGCACATTGAGAGAAAATAAACATGCAACATTTTTCTCATGCCGGAGGGACCTCTTGCCCAATAGGGCTCATTACACTAGGCCAGTGCCTACCTGTTTAATAATTCTGTCTGGGCTCAGAAGCCAAGCAGGTCCTAAGGCAGGTGCCGGCTGTGGCTTTTACTGGAGGTGCAGATCTTTGAACCCCAGAGCTGGAGGTGTGGGCTCGCTCTGGGTCGACACTAAGTGACGTGACTGTTAACAGACTAAGAGCATGTTAGTCCAGACGGCCCAATGTCTGGGCTTCTTAGACAAAAGACGACTTCTAGTTCCAAAAGTCCTAGTAAAACTTTTACTGCTGATTCTCTTTCCTGTTCTCTCTGTGAGAAAGACAAAGCTTGTGTACACAGTCTGGCAGTAGCCACATTCTCAGGAGGAACAATAGACAACAAAGGTAGTGGGTAACCCTCGGGGCACAGAGGGGATAAGTAACTTGCCGAGGGTCACATAGAAAGCGCAGGAGCCCAGCAGTCTGACTCCAAAGTCAAAAAGTTTCAAAGGACTTCAGGCACATAGAGTTGGCTTGATTCTAATCTTTGTATGATACATGCTCTCATGCACAGACTCTGGTCTACTTATTTAATTAATGAAGTTACAAATCACAAAAGACACAGAGACATAAGATCTTAGTCTGGGCTCCCACAGGAGCAGACCCTAAAGGCAGCTGGGGGCAAGTGGCTTATCTGGAAGGTGCAGGGGAGTCAGCAGGAGAAAGAAGGAGTGAGGCAGGAAAAGAGGCAGCATATAAAGGGCATGTCCTTACGCAGCAGCCCAAAAGGAAGTGGATCTTACCCTGTGGGCACAGAGCTCGGAATAGCCCCTGCACCCGAGGGGCGCGAGCCTGGGGCCATTTACACCACTCAGTTAGTGGTTTACAGATGCTGAAGAATGGGTGGCGGGGCTGGGGGTGGGGGAGGAGGCTTCAAGGACAGAAGCGCACACCTTCGTAGTTGGTAGGTTTCTGGAGCATGTGAAAAAAGCAGAATCCAATGCAGTGTTTCTCAATTGAAAAAAAAAAATTACTTCCACTCTAAGGAGACTTTTAAAGCAATTTTTCCTAATTGCCCCTGCCCCATCAAATTTTACTACTGCAAATATATTATTGTTATGTACTATTGCCCTTTGTGTGTGTGTGTTGGGGGGGCAAATTGCAAACCAATAAAACACACAAGACTTTTTTTTTTTGTCCATGGTATTAATCAAGGTTCTCCAGAGGAACAGAACCAACAGGGTGTGTGTGTGTGTGTGTGTGACTTCATTCAAAAGTATGTGTGAAAGTTGCTCAGTCGTGTCCAACTCTTCGCTACCCCATGGAATATGCAGTCTATGGAATTCTCCAGGCCAGAATACTGGAGTGGCTTGCCTTTCCCTTCTCCAGGGGATCTTCCCAACCCAGGCATTGAACCCACGTCTCCTACATTGAGGGCGGATTCTTTACCATTTTTTGTCCCTGGTATTAATCAAGGTTCTCCGGAGGAACAGAACCAAGAGGGTGTGTGTGTGTGTGTGTGTGTGTGTGTGTGTGTGTGACTTCATCCAAAAGTATGTGTGAAAGTTGCTCAGTCGTGTTCAACTCTTCGCTATCCCATGGAATATGCAGTCTATGGAATTCTCCAAGCCAGAATACTGGAGTGGGTTGCCTTTCCCTTCTCCAGGGGATCTTCCCAACCCAGGCATTGAACCCACGTCTCCTACATTGAGGGCGGATTCTTTACCAGCTGAGCCACCAGGGAACCCCAAGAATACTGGAGTATCCCTTCTCCAGCAGATCTTCCTGACCCAGGAGTCAAACTGGGGTTTCCTGCCTTGGAGGTGGATTCTTTACCAACTAAACTATTAGGAATTGGCTCCTATGATTATAGAGGATGATGAGTCTCAAGATCTGCTGTCTGTAAGACCCAGGATGGTATAGTTCCAGTCCTTAGGCTTGAGACACAAAGAAAGTTGATATTTCAGTTCAAATCCTGAGGAAGGAAAGAACTTCCCAACTCAGGGTAGCCTGGCAGAAGGGAAAGTCAGGCTTTCTGTTCTATTTAGGCCTTCAACTGATGGAGGGTTCCCCCATATTAGGGAGGACAATCTGCTTTACCAAGTCTACCAATTCAAGCGTTACTCTCACCCAGAAACACTCTCAACAGACACATTCAGAGTAACAGCTCATCAGAACACTGGACCAAATGTCTGGACAGACAGTGGCCCAATCAAGATGAAACGAAATTAACCATCATCACTTGCCACCACCCCTCGTCCTGTATCAGATTTCTCCCATTTGGGGGCGCTGCTGCCCATGTTGAAGACCCACGGTCCAAGAGACCGGAACAAACCACACAGCACCTGTTCCCCGCCTGCTCTTTTGGTGACCGGGCGGCGCTGGAGTGGTGGGGGGTCCACAGGAGCCCAGAGAGGAGCGTAACACATCAGCTCATCCTTCTAGGCTAAGGGGTCCCCAGAAAGGAGAGAGAGAGACGGGAGAGGGTAGGACAGATTGGAAGCAAATGATGGACTTTGATAACCCATCCCAGAAGAAGTGAATCTCTGGTTTTCATTATTTTCCGGGATTCTTCAGAACTTTTGATTTTCCCCGAAAGAGCTCCCGTACAAACCAATTAGGCCCTACCTTGGTATTTCGGCGCTGTTGAAATCAGAGAGGATGCGAACATCCTTCTCAGAGCCCGAGTCCCACCACGATCTCGCACCAGTGTCAAGCTAGCTCTCATGTTCCCGACTTGAAAAGCAGTTGAACAGATGGTGGCTGACACCTTTCTCAGGAATCCTGGAAACCCACCAGTCTACCCACTGAGGTATGAAAAAAAAAGGGGGGGGGGTCTTGCCAATGCAGGAGATGCTGGTTTGATCCCTGGGTCAGGAAGGTCTCCTGGAGAAGGAAACGGCAACCCGCTCCAGGATTCTTGCTTGGAAAGAGAGGCCTGGATGGCTACAGTCCATGGGGTTGCAGAAGAGTCAGACACGACTCAGTGATCAAACAACAGCAACAACACCTTGATAGAGTGTATATACCTGTTATTTTTGACAAATGATTTCAGATTTTTTAAAATAGAGGGAACAGTGAGTTTTGGACATAACCCAAGACATGATGCCAAATTCTTTCCCCTTTTATTAAAACTAAGATGTGATAGCTGTGTGACGTTTGTCCTGGTAGCACACTCATCTCACAGCCTCAGTGACAACTTTGTGGCTGGCCACATAAAACTTACTAGAAATTAATCTAGCAGAGTTGCCCTGATTTTTCAGTTCCTACACAATTAAGATATTTTTTTTCCATTTATTTTTATTAGTTGGAGGCTAATTACTTTACATCATTGCAGTGGTTTTTGTCATACATTGAAATGAATTAGCCATGGATTTACATGTATTCCCCATCCCGGTCCCCCCTCCCACCTCCCTCTCCACCCGATCCCTCTGGGTCTTCCCAGTGCACCAGGCCCGAGCACTTGTCTCATGCACCCAACCTGGGCTGGTGATCTGTTTCACCCTAGATAATATACATGTTTCGATGCTGTTCTCTTGAAACATCCCACCCTCGCCTTCTCCCAGAGTCCACAAGTCTGTTCTATACATCTGAGTCTCTTTTTCTGTTTTGCATATAGGGTTATCGTTACCATCTTTCTAAAGTCCATATACATGTGTTAGTATACTAAGGTATTATAGAAACCTTCTCAGGAATGGGGGAGAATCCTAGAACATGGGACGTATCACTGTTTGAAGACTAGAGTCTTAAAGAACATCACCCCCTTCACTTTACAGAGGTGGGAGCCGCATCCGAACAGCTTGAATAATTTACTGAAGGTTACCAG